CTCAGATTACGGTGCCAATCCAGGAAATTTGTCCCAGACAATTTTTCCTTATCTAGGATGGATCGCAAAATATTGTTCGATGTGTTTGTTGTCATGGTAATCTACAAGAGAAATATGAAAATATAAGTATCATTAAAACAACATATTTAATTAGGCCTTTAATCAAATATGCTCCCACTATTTTATTCAAAACAAATGACCCTCATCATTTGATTCGGAAAATCCCGTTGGAAGACTTTCTAGTGGGTCGAGATCCATGTTTCACTTTGTTTTAAGTCAGCGTTAGGCTGATTACACAAAACTAAGTTATTTAGGTAGGAACTCCTTCCAATTGTATCTCATACAACTCTCGAATATTTTCAATTGGGTGAATAACTTCTTATTCTGATCCATCACATGAATCATTCCCAATTCTTGCTTCTAGACATATATAATCTTATTATAATTTGTTTAGTTAAGTTTGACCCATTGTTTTAGCAATTGGATATTACAATTATCCCATCACACCTTACTAATATAGAACATGCACCTCGCGTAGGCGAAACCTACAATGCTCGATACTAGTCTTGATGAGTGCTAAAATTTGGAAAGCATAAACTTAATATTTAATTTTGAGGGAATTTGTTATTAGTTTGATCTCACCGGCTTAACATGCAAAACGTCTCTCACATGCATCAACATACAATTACATGCATCAACACACATATAAAAAGATACAATTATGGCCCCTAACGCAATTGTTCTCTCAAGCCAATGAGAGAACTTAAGCTAACCTAATAACGATCTAAGCTTCTCCAAGCATGATCTCCAAGGTTATCCTCCTTTAATATTGAATACTTCTTTTTTTCTTTTTCTTTTTTTCATAACATAATATTACATTATATATAAGAAAACTCGTTTTACATACGAGGGAGTGAGATGAGAAAAGAAGTTACATAAAGAGATTGAGAGAGAGGCACGACACGCAGGCCGTATTCAAAAATCCCAAAACAATAATAAAGGATAAACTAAGGCCATAACTGATCACCACAAATAAATAATAATAAACACACTTTTATTATTAGTTTAAAATTCCGATAATTAAATAAACTAAATTAAATTTCGGCTGATTGATCACACTTTGCAGACTTAGCCGGGGGTTCCGCTGACTGTTCAGCGGACGGGGGTCAAGGGGGCAGCGCCTCCTTGCGGGGTTGTCAGGGGCAGCGCCCCGGCGAAAATTTTTATGAACACTTCATTGTATTTCACGTCGTTTCCTGCACAACTTTTGTGCATTTACAACCCCAACCGGAAAAGTCTGCGGCAATACAACACTTGTACTGCCATTAATCCTAATGCAACAATTTCATGCCGTCAAACACAACTCGATTGATAACTCAATATGATAGATCAACATGTCATTGCTTCACCATACTAACGTCGGATTCCGAAGCGAATGAAAATGATGATCTTTCAAAAGAATTACAATCCTTATGTGATTGAATGGATGAAATCAAAACAGTATATCCCATATACCATCTTTGCATCAGAATTTCTTATATCTTATATAAAAGTGATCGATCTAATTGTGTAACCTATGGATGATCAATGTATCGCACAACTTCACCATACTAATGTCGGTTTCTGAAGCATAATCAACATCAATCATCCAAATCGTACACAACAGATGCCAAATTTAATTAATCGTTTATTGTTAAATTCATTCTGTGTTTTAATCGAATCAAATACAGAAAAGACGAAAATTTAACAGCTATCAGATCCATGGTTTCGTAAGTGGCTCTGATACCACTGAAGGAAAATTGCGATCTAAACGCAGCGGAAAACAAAAAATTCCTTTAGTGATCCTTACGAATGAGCATGGTCAGTGATAGAATCGTTACCTCTTTGTGGCGATTCAGATCTTTGATGCAGCGATCACAAGCGTTGATGAAGTGCAACGCCTCTACTCAGTCCACACGAACAGCTTCTGGTCACAGTGCTAGCTGCTTACGAACGGAATTATTTGAGTGAGAAAAGAGAATCAAAAACGAAATTGCATCAAGTGAAAGCTTCATCACAAGGGTTCCTTTTATAGACTCTCTTGTGGGCTGCGGGCTAAAAACCCAATTCACATGATCCATAATAATATTATATATTATTATAATAACTATTATTATAATAAATATATTTATTTTATTATTATTTTATAACCATTATAAAATAACAATAATTATTATTATATTATCCGAATTTCTATTTTTTCACTTAAGTGCACCGTACCTTACGGTGTTCCTTTGATTTCTCTATCTCTCATCAAACTGTCCTTATGTGTGTGACCCTGTAGGATTTCGTAACGTTGGTAATTATATTAAATTATATATTTAACATAATAAACAGTAAGCGGTATCTAGCAACACATCACTGCTACCCAAGTCACGAAAATGTCATGTGATCTGACAAAACCTTTTTCGTGATAATATATGTTTGTACAATTACCCTTTTGCCCCTATGTCTATATTGAACACAAGGCATACACTGTGTCATCCTTGTCCAGTTCAATATTGGGCCCTTAGACATTTCTCCTGTTATGCAGGATTGGCAAATTCCATCTAGGACACTCATGTCCCTCAGCATGCTTCGTGGAGTGCCCATCAACTGTCTTTATGATCATCCAGTTACGGATAATGTTTGATCAGCAATAAAGCACCTGACTCTACATCTAGGGTCCATAGTGGTTTCAGGTCGAAGGGTGGTAATACACCATTATCACCATGAGAATAACTTATGACACTTTGCATAACATACTATGTAGTATTCTCATAGCGGGTCAATCCGGTATAAATATTACTCCTAATATTTATACCTATGTCAAGACTTGATAACTCTTTATCCATGATCCATGAGATGTGATCATCAGTCTATCTTCATAATAGTCTCAATGCTTTTAATGTTATCCCACTTTGCAATAAAGCTTGACTACGGATATTTTAAGAATAATGTCTTTATGTTTAATGGGATCTCATGATTAAGTCACACTTAACATTTCATTAAACAGACTAACTATTCTAGGGACTTTATTATTCTGAAAGACAAACATAATAAAGAAATGCCTTTTATTATTAAACGAATAATTTGATACAAGTACCAAAAAGTATTGGCCTCTAGGGCTTACACCAACAAGGTCCTCATCCAAGAAGTTATGCATTCAGCTACATTCAATATTTTCAGAGTATTACATTCTTATATAACACCAATGCAGAGGGAGAGTCACTTAAGTGAACTCATCACAGAATATTATAAAAGGAGTGGGCTTGGGCACATCATGTTGTTGATGTGTTACATGCATGTTTGTGTATTGTGCCTATTTGGCAAGTGCACGTTTAGATAAAAAACTTTTAAGAAGACACTCATGGAAGGGCCATTGTAGAGGCATTGATAATCAAGATAAGGAATGTCTTGCGGTACAAAATGCGCAGGAGGAACTAGAAGTCAGATATAACTAATATTTAACATTTTCTTTGTATTTTGATTTGTATTTTAGCTTATATTTTATGAATGTATGATTTATATTTTGACTTATTATAAGATATTTTGATTAAATTGTATTGGTATTTGTGATAATTGTATGATTTGATTAAATTATATAAGGATTATTAAAATATGTTAAATTTATAATTAAAAAAATATTGTTCCAAAGATAAAATTATTATGTCCTGAGTTAATACGGAAGTTAACTTCCATAATATCCACTAAATTGTGAAAAACACATTATCATGAGATCGAAATGTGTCATATGGATTAGGCTGAAACTTAACCTACAGACTCAATCTTCCATTAATACATAGATTAAATCTATTTTATTTTTTTGACAAAATAGAATCGACTATTTTGTTATATTTTTTTGACAAAATAGAATCGACTATTTTGTTATTGGGTGTAGCAAGGACATTTGAAGGTTTACTTACGTATTAGTTCAAAGAAAATTGAGTTTATCAAACAAATTATTAATTTATTATTTTTTATAAAATTAAATCTTATAATGTTTATTATGAATATGATATATAAAATATTACATTTTGAATTACTGTATTATTTTTTTAAAATATCTATATTATAATATGCTTTTAAATATTAAAAATCATCTAAAATAATATAAAAATATTTAATATAACACAAATTAATAAAATACAATAAAATTGTAAACTTAAGTGTAAAATAATTAAATTAATTATTTTTTATATATTTTATCATATGAAGATTAAATACAAAGATAAAATTTTATGAAATGAGACAATTTAATGTGATGTTTTTTAATGAAACAAATAAATATTAATATAATTTTTTTAACGTTGAAAAAGCCTTAAATTTTTCAAATTTGTCATTTTCAACACATCTGAATCATAACCTTCTAAATTTGGCACCTGAAGAAATAATGCCTATTTAGAAAATATTGAAATACTTTTTTGTTTGAATAAATGATATACGTGTATCTGTCTCGGTGGACTAAGCTGGCTCATACTGTATTGTTTCATCCGATCTATCGATTTGGATAGTTTGAATGGTTTAGATTGATCTAATGGGGAAAGGAGGGATTCTCAATGAAAGAATCTATTCCCATCAGTAGACTGATTTATGCAACTCGTCCAGATAAATATGTAACTTTGGGAATATATATTCACTAGAAAGTATAGCAATTCGAGGAAGTATAAATGAAGCATAATACAAAATAAAACTAGAGCATCTAGCAACCTAAAATAAAAAAGCCGCACCACCACCTCAGTTTGTTCTAACCAACGCAGTAATATAGTATGAACAATGGTTCCAGAAGTACTATCAATTTCCAAAATACAACCTCAAAGAAATTAATGGTGTTTCTTTTTGTTCCTTGTTCCTATCTCGCTTTGTGACAGACTTGTCTCCAAAAGCTGATATTCTCAATTGACGCATGCATGCCATGGATAAAAGTCCGGCAAGCAACTAAAACACCCAATTCATTGAAGCTCCTTTATCTACTACAAACCTCAAGATATCGGATGCCGCCTCCTGCAAATTTTGAAGCCAAGAATCTTATGACTAGGAATACAAGAAAAATATATATATTCTCTAAATTAATACACAAGCTCGGTCATATTCTAGCTTGAAATAGACGATGGGACAGAACACATTTAGATTCATGGCAGATTTCCTTTATCCATATCTGATCACTTAGTCCCATTGATGTACAGATGTTCAGTCACAAATTTAATACAAACATGACAGCAATAATCAAGTAACACACAAGCTTCATTCATCCATTGCAGATGATAAACCAGTCAGAAACCAAAACATGTAAAAATACATTTAGGTCATTTTATGGCCAGTTTCAACTAGAGTCATTTTTTATTAATATAACTGATCAAATACTTGACTGATATAAGTTCTCTCAAATTACCTCTTCGGTCGGCTTCGCTCTTCTTCAAAATCCATCACTCCACCAGATTCAGTGCAGATCTCCTCCTCATGCCCTCGGAAGTCGATGTCGGCCTGCTCACAGTGTGTAACTTCTGCCACAATGTAAGTAAGACACATCGACCAATATATCCCAATTATAAAGAACGAGATATTTCAGATCACATAGGATAGCCTTGAAGTTGAAGGCGGCAAAAAGCAACTATGAAGAGCTAAAAACTTGACCAAATGTTATTTTGATTAATAAAGAACAAGGGGCGCTGTTTCTGCAGCAGATTTGCCCTCATAACTTTAAAGCTGAAGCCATTAACATAGCGATATTCAGACTTCCTATCCATGGCTTTATAATATAAATACTACAACAGTCATTTTCTACCTACAACTTTTCTGCTATAAATTTGTTTTACTTCTTTCATGAGAGTGCATATTATTTTATATAAATATTTTTCAGTAGCAAACTTCCTCATCCCTTCTAACTAGAAGGGAAGTTGGTAACCAGAAGAACAGTTGGTGGGTTTCAAGGGACTTCCCAGCTAAATCAAACTAACATCAAATCATGTGGCGGCTTAGTTAGTAGGGTTCTGTTATCTAAATGATTAAGATTAAAAACAAAATGTAGAACAAGTCATTGGCTAAGAAGCTAAGAGGAAACACAAATATGGATTTGGCTTCGACTCATAAAACAAAATTAACATATTATTTAGCACAGATACAAGTCCACACCAAGAATCCTATTAAGTCAAAATAAATAGTCTATTTGCATAATATATTCATTTTACATTGGCAAGAGTACGGACAAGAGAATTCCAAGTTGCGTAATATATCCACCAGATAGTCCAGCAACATTCACAGAACACACAAAGATAAACAAAGAGAAAAATAAATTCCAACATATTTAGTAAAAACTCTTAAATTTAAACAAAACCATTTTGCTTTAGTCAAAAGCACAGAATAGGGTAGGGATATCAATTCTATAACAGAGAGCAAAGTACATGGGAAATTGTGTACAATATCAAACATACAGGCAAGCTTTTCAACAGGACGTTTTCTCATTAATATTTAAGAATAAAAATTCTGACAGACATGCTGTTAAAAAAAAATCCAACCGACCTTGAAAAGGGACTTCTTTACTTCTTCAACCTTCTCTTCCACATCCTTCCGGTGCTTCTTGTCATTTTCACTCATTGAATCAGCCCACTTTATCTTATCTTGAATGGAAACAAGCATATTTTCTGATGTAGATAACCTGTGTTTCCCAGTCATGAATAAAACTTTAGTGGAAAGTGGTCATAGTCTAAAAGCAGATCCTTTTTCAGGTAAGAGTGATTGGTATGGTGATAATGACAAGAGTGCAAGCCACACAAGACCCTATTTGAAAAGAAATAGTTTACCAGTTGGAGAGGGTATGGATCATACTCCCCAGTTGACCAGGCCTCAAGTCCCTACCTGCTGCAAATTGGACCTGAAAATCACCCTCAATGATCAAAGAAATCCCTAACAGATGCAATTTAATTTTACTACAACCGGAAAAAAATGATATTGAGCTAGGACCTCAAAGCATCGCCGCAATTGATCCAGCTTCCCTCTGACTATTCCCTGATAATAGCAAGAAAAGTTATAAAGATGTCTTTCAAATAAAAGTTTCCAAGTTAATTAAAACTTCAATAATCTGACAGTGCAACATCTTTAGGAGAAAGACAAGATAAAAATAAGAATCCAAAAAAAAAACTATCAACTAAGTCAAGCATCAAAAAGAAACAATCAAAACAGTTGGTCATAAATTAATAGATGAAAGTTAACAAATTAACAGGGGGTTGAATAAAGAAGAAATGATTATATTATAGCATGCAATATTTATATCCACTAGTAGTATCAAATAGAGACCAATAACACAAAAACTACAGTACTGCTTCTCAAAGCCTTTTAGAGCAACTGTACTCTATGAATGTATAGTTTAAATGTTCAAAAGAAAATAGTTTAGAAGTGCATTTCAAGATTATCTTGTATGCTACAAGATTTAAACATTTACTGCTATCAGCTATAAACAGGCCTGGAATCAGTTGTAATTGATTCACACTTACGCATCGGTATATATATACTAGAGCATACTACTCATGTGGGAGAATGTTAGGTTCTTGTTAATGATTGTTGGTAAATGGGTGGGTTTATCTAGTTAGGATGCTAGTGCAGTAGCAACTATCTAGCATTGTAAATAATAATACTCTTCCTTCCCGATTTTGAATCACATTGGAGAATGTGAGGTAGTGCCTCCCCCCTCTCAAATAATAAATAATAATACTCTTCCTTCCCAATTTTTGTGAAAATGGAAGTTAGGGGGTTGAGAAAGTTAGAAGAAAGCATGTGTTACTTATGAATAAGAGAGGTTAAGAATTATGGAGAGCTATATTGTCATTTGAGAGTATGTTGAAGCTTGGGGAATGTCTCCCGCCCTTCCGTATGTAATATGCCTCCTTCCCCATTTTTTTTAAAAGATAAGTTAGGCGATATGAATAAGAGGGGTTGAGAGTGAGGGGTATCTAGAGTGTGTTGAGGGTGGTATTGTCAATTCGCAGATAGTAGAAAATAACAGTTTTTATAATTCAGCTAAGCTATCGTGTTATAGCCTCTATTTGGCTATACATTGTACTAAATCGTGTATCATGAAAAAATAGTGGTTTTTCAAATACAGCTACAGAATACCAGTATTTAAAAACACTTGTTGAGGCCTCTGGCAAAGAGATTTCCGAAGCTCAGCAGATCAAATCTCTAATTCATAACATAAAAGTCATGCAAAAGACATATATGTCATGATCAACTAAATAATTCCAAAAGAGAAAATCATAACACCAAATTTGAATCATCATCATAATTCATGACTCAAACAAAACATGGGGGTAAAGTCATAATCACTCAGGGTTGCTGCCTCACAGCATGCAAGGATCACACTGGCGGGCTAGTGCCTCGTACGAGAATGTTTGAAGCATGCAAGGATCAAAAGAAAATGGTTCTTACCGCATACATGCACTCATTAATCAGAAAATCTTCAAGCTCGCGAACATTTGTCACATCGAGCTCCTGCATCAATTGGTCATAGGGTAATACCTGAAAAATAGTTGAAGTTGTAAATATAGATTGTAAAATCATATCACAGTAACAAAATTCAAATTAAAAACATAAAATGTTAATATATATCAGATTATCTTCTAAATAATTACATCGAAGATCAAAATGCAATTTAAAATGATGGATAAGATGAAACAGTCCTATAAAAAATCAAAACAGTCCTGAACAAAATATCGCAGAGACTATGAACAGAACCCAACCACAAAGTGTAGCCACCAATTTTGAATTGATAGGCAATACCTTGTATGTTTCAGCGAGTGTAAGAACCGTAAGTTGCTTAAGCTTTAGGATCTGATCAGGTGTCAATTGTGGAAGACGGTCAGCATTACCTATAAGCCATTCAAAAATTTTAATGAACAGCAATTTATTATTTGCATTTTCACATACACGGTAAAAGAAATAGGAAATCATGAATGAAGATAACCGTACAAATCTCATTACTGATATTTACAAAGCATAAAATGAAATGCGGTAAATTATTTAATCTCAAGACACACGTAGTGATTTTCAAAATAGTGGGACATCAAATTAAGCAATTCCAAATGGAAAAACATGCTCCTGCCGGTATGCATACAAAAGTATGCATGTGCAGTAAGTCTGAAATACTAACCACAACTTTTTTATAAAATAAGTATGAACATAGTTACCTAATTATTAATTATACATCCCCCTGCTATGGCAGTCTTTACAAAAGTTACAGCTTAATATCTCAAGATATTAATATCCAGACATCGAAATAATAATAAATTCAAAAATCACAAATCACATGTCATGGTACGATAAAGAATAGTTCCCACAAAATTTGTTTAAGGTAACAGCATACTACTGGAAACGGAAAAACATCCAGTGAATGCCAGAAAGCACCCACCACATAAGCGTGCAGGGAGAGAAAGATAAACAGAATGATCAATCAATATACTTACTCTTATAGTCACTCCATATTCCATGTGCAAACAGCCTAAGCATATCAAGGTATGACTTATTATCAGTTGCTTCAAGCTGCAAAAAAAAATCAGTCAAAAAATTTATAGGAGACACATCTGAATTTTTTGCAAATTTACAACAACAACAACCAGGTCTAATCCCACTAGGTGGTGTAAGCAACTTCCCCATAATGTTCTACACAGTACCATGCTTCTATCCAAATATAGTCCTCAAGTTACTTAGATGTTTCAATGCTACCTCAAAATTCAATATAACATCAGAAAGCAACTTAGCAATATAATGCACCATAAAGTCTAATACCAAAACAAAACAAAAAAAGTCATTGAAAAAAATTAGCCGACATATACACTATAGGGTTCCACAGTACCTCACTCGTTCATAATCACAGCAAACATTAAAAAAAAAACGTGAAAAAATTATATTCAAAAACAGAAAATACGAAAACATATTTGCAATTGATTAACAGTCACATTTATGATCAAATCATTCTATATCAGAAAAAAACAACAAAAATAATGAAGGGCAAAGAGGGATTGGGAAAAACCTGAAGAACATTGGGGAGAGCGAGAATCTCAGAGAAGGCAAAAAGCAAAGGGTGAGAAGTTGCATCGACAATGACGGAAAAGAGCGCGGGAGCGTTTGATGCAGCAGAGGCTTGCTTGACGAAGTGATCGATGAGATCCGATTGCCTCTGTTCGATGTCCATCTTCGAGAATGATGAACGAGGAACTAGGGTTTTCGAGAGGAAAATCAATTCGATTGAGGGAAATCCGAAAGGGTTTTTGAGTTAGGGTTTCACTTTCTGTTGAGAATTTTAAGCACACTGATAAAAAAAATTTTGTTTTTGGTAGTGAGGAGCGCTTTGTATTTAACAGATGATGAAGTGTGAAGACATGTTTTTCGATTTGTTTTTTAAATAACAAACACTTTCAATTTAAATACTCAAATAATTAACATTAATAAGCAAGATATTCATGTTTTAAAAAATAAAAAATATTAATTGGCGCATGCATGAAAAATAGATATTAGCGTCATATTGTCGGCGCATATAATATTCTTGTGTCATTACACTGACGCATGTAATTGTTAGCTCCCAAATTCGACGCCTCTTGAAAAATAAAGAAATCTAAGAAGAAGCACCAAAAACAGGTTGAAGGTCAAAGTTGGTCGAAAGGTGTGAGGCAGCTAAGGGAAGTAGTCGAAGCACTCACTAGGATGGAAGAGAAACCACAAGGGCTTCGACCGTTTCACTGTTTGGTGATTTATTGAAGATTTGAAATTCAAATAACTTGGAGGGAACAGTTTCGTTTGCCAAGTGGCTAGGAGGACACATGGCACCTTATGAACAGCGGATCCATGCATTGTGACAAGTGGCGAGAGATGGTGATGTTGGAAGTTATTAGTAGTTATTTTCTACTATTATAAATAGGGAGTCTTAGACATGAAATAAGTGTGTTGTAATTTACTATTGTACAAATTACTCTTAGAATTACTCCAAGTATTCGAGCGTAGAGAAAGAGAGTATTACAGAGAATGTACGTGATGTAAACACACCATCTTTTATCTTAATGAAATTTACTTTACTTGCTTTAAACTTTACAGAGTCTTTTTATTTTCCTTGCACCCTTCTTCCTTCTCCCTTCTTCCTTCTCTATGCAATTCCCTTATCTTCGTCCTTAATCTTTCTTCTCCAAACAAACTTCTTTCTTGTCTTTGTTAAAAACTTTATCTTTTAATTTGTCCCGTAGTCGAATAGATATTCCCTTTAGATTCTTTTACTGCAATATGGCCAGAGTGTGAAACTTAGATAGAATTAACGAGAATAACCCTTTAGCACATGTCCTAGGATCAATCTGATCGATCCTGTGAGTCACCAAAGTTAGATTTGGAAGATCAACGATTGTTTTCTGATTTTCAAGGGAAACAGTAATACTCATGTGTTATTACTCTGACGCGTGCATAGTTGGCCTAAGAGGAAATGTCACTCCTCCTCCTGATGTCATAGTGCATTGTTTTTTTTTAATTAAATTAACAGCTAAATAATAATAATAATAAATTGTGAACAAAAATAAATACTAATATTATCTCTCCTTAGTAGGACACGTTGTCGTAATCTAGTTCAGTATTCATGTCATCATAGTTGGGTCGCGTTTGTTGGTGTTGTAACAAACGATAATAATTAACAAATTCTTGTTTGAGAAAGAAGTTTCTTGATAAACAATGAAACAATTAGGTTAACAAAGAGAGAGAAGAAAGAAGGAGAATAGGATTGGGCAAACTGTTTTTTTTATTCACTTACTCAATTAAGGTACAAATTATTACAAGTGAATAACAACAATTGACCTCTCTCAATAACTTGAGAGAACTAGTCTATTTATAGGCTACTAAGTTAACTTAAATAACAAGCTAACCTAAATAAGTGGATTCATAACACAATGCCCGATTCGATATTACATTTTGACATTACATATTAGAACTAACTTCAACTACAACATGTAACACTTCGACATCAGCATGTGAACCAGCTTCGACTTCATGTTTGTCTCCTATCAAAATATGAAAGTTATCCCTGCAGACAACATCCCAGTCAACAGCACTAGAGTTCGATTCAATATATCACAAATATCCACCTTAGAACAAACTCTACAATAATAGGGAATAATCTAGCTTTCATCGTGCCCCTTTATCAACTACATACAGTGAAAAAACTTGCAACTCGGTAATATCTTGGTGATCATATCAGCAACATTATCATCAGTCAAAACCTTCAGCATTTGGACTTCTCCACACTCGATTATCTCTCTAACAAAGTGCAGCCTCATGTTGATGTGCTTGGTTCGCTCATGATAGACTGAATTCTTTGACAGGTGTATTGCACTTTGACTATCACATTTAACAATGATAACTCGACCTTGAAGTTTTAGCTCCTTTGCCAAACCTCCAAGCCACAATGCTTCTTTCACAGCTTCAATTAGGGCAATATATTATACTTCAGTGTTTGATAAGGCAACAACCTTCTGAAATGTTTTTTTCCAATTGATTGTTGTGCCGAACATAGTGAAGACATTATCGAGAAATAGATTTTCTGGAATTCGTACAACCTGCATAATTAGAGTCGACATATTATTCGCTTTTGACTTTGCTATCATCACCGTCGGCTCTACCATAAATCAAGACTCTAGTTAGAGACCCATTTATGTACTTAAAAATCCACTTCAAAACTTGTCAGTGCGTCTTTCCAAGATTTGACATATACCTGCTTACAAGGCTCACTTCATACGATATGTATGGCCTCATACAGACCATAACATACATCAAAGAACATATTATACTAGCATATGGAATGCTACTCATACAGATTCTTTCAGCTTCAGTACTCGCACTTTAAGTAGTACTAAGCTTAAACTGAGAATTTGTCGGAGTCACAACAGGCTTTGAATTTGACATACCAAACTTGTCGAGAATCTTCTGTAGGTATGTCTTTTGAGATAAGCATAATTTCGACTACTTTCTATCTCTCCGGATGTCAATCTCAAGAATCCTGGTGGCAGCTCCCAGATCCTTCATTTCGAATTCCTTACTAAGTTCAGCTTTCACCTTCATTACATCCTCGACATTGTTGCTAGCTATGAGGATATCATTCATATAAAGCAAATAGACATCTAACTAATGTGTGCCATGAACTTGTCGAATCTCATGTTCCACTTTCGAGGAGATTGTTTCAGATCATACAAATACCTATTCAGCTTGCACACATAACCTTTCTTATTCTTTTCTGCATACCTTTCAGGTTGCCGCATCAGGATCGTTTCATCTAGGTCACCATACATGAAGGTTGTCTTCACATCCATTTGTTCAAGTTCCAAGTCAAACTTTGTCACCATGGCTAACAACATTCTAATGGATATATGCTTTGCAACAGGTGGGAACACATCATTGAAGTCGACACCGTCTTTCTGACTGAACCCCTAGCAACCAACCTTACCTTAAAGCGCTTTGACATTACTCCTTTGATTCCTTCTTTGACCTTGAAAATCCACTTCCAACTGAATAACCTTGCTCCTACAGGTTTCTCAATCATTTCTCAAGTGTTATTATCATGAAGAGATTTCATCTCGTCATCCATGGCTTTTCTCCATTCATTCTTATTTCGACTCCTCATAACTTCCTTGTAGTCTATAAGTTCTTCCTTAAGTACCTCACTTGCAGAGATTAAGGCAAAAGCTATAAGATCTGCATAACTAAGTCTCTGAGGTGACTTGATGACTTTTCTCGATCTATTTTTTGCCAGTAAGTAGTCATCGTCTGTTTCCTTAGTCTCTTCAGCATCTGGCTCTTCTTCTTCGACTTCATCTGGGTTATGCACTTCAGCATCACTATGTTCCACCTCAACAGGAATCTCTACCTATTCCACTCCTCTTCAGAGATTTATGTAGTTCGACCAGCATCACCAGTTTTCTTGAACGCCATCTCGACTCCATTGAAAACTACATCACGACTTGTGATACATCTTCTGTGACCTGGTTCTAGGCACCACGGCCTATAGCCTTTGACTCCCTCAAGACATCCAAGGAATATGCATCTCCGAGTTCTAGATTCGACCTTGTCTTGCCTAATGTAAGCATACGCTAAACAACCAAATACTTTTAGTTTGTCGAGATTTGGTGGTTGACCTGACCAAACATCTTCAGGTGTCTTCATTCTCAAGGCAGTCGATAGACATCTATTTATCAGATAAGTTGTTTCAAAACAGTCTCTGCCAAAAACACCTTTTTCAATCCAAAACTAACCAACATGCATCTAACTCTTTCAAGGATTGTTCGATTGAATCTCTCAGCTAAGCCATTTTTTTAGGAGTACCTGCTATAGTCTTATGCCTTGCAATCCTAGACTCTACATAGTAACTGCCAAAATCTTCATTGTAAAATTCAAGGCCATTGTCAGTTCTCAGCCTCTTGACCTTTCTGCCAATTTGAGTTTCGACCAAAACCTTCAAACTTTTGAAATTCTCAAAAGTTTCATCTTTAGTCTTCTGAATAAATACCCATAACTTTCTGGAATAGTCATCAACTATGGATAGAAAATACCTTGCACCTAAATGTGAAGGATTCCTTGCAGACCCCCAAAGATCAGCATGAATGCAATCAATGGATCCATGTGTTCTTTGTTTACCTTTGTTAAACTTCACCCTACATGATTTGCCAAATACACAAGGTTCACAAAACTCCAACTTTTCGACTTTGTCATCACCTAGCAGGTTCTGTTTCCCCAGTTTGACCAGGCCTTTTTCGCTAACATGGCTCACTCTCATGTGCCATAATTCTGTCTTCGACACTGGTTTTGTGGATGCAAAATCTACTGAACCACTTACAACCTCAGCCTCAAAGGTATACAAGCCTTGTTTCTTTATGCCTCTCAAGACTTCCTTCGATCCCTTCATGACTTTCAGGATACCTTCCTTTTCTTGAAGACATATCCTTTCTAGTCGATTTCACCAAGAGAAATTAGATCCTCTTAAGATCAGGTACATACTTAACACCAGTTAATAGCCTTATTGACTCATCATGGAGCTTGAATCTCACAGATCCAGTACCTATAATTTTGTAAGCTTTATTGTTTCACAACAGCATTAATCAACCATCTTGATCACATAATTCTTCAAACACATTATTGTTTGGATTCATATGCCAAGTACATCCTGAATCC